GATCCCACCAGCACTCGGCAAAATTAGGCAGAAGATGCATGAAGAAAAGCTGAGAAACACAAGAGCCCATGGTTGGAAAAATAAACAAAACTGGGTACCGTGAAGAAACATACATTTCCTTTTAGTAATGCACTGTTTTGGAAAAAGTTGTTGACATTTCATTATTTCCTAATGTATACATAAAAAAAAAAAAAAAAAAAAAAAAAGCTCAAGATGCATTATTTAAATTAAATTTAAATGCCTTCCTGTTTCAGGTGAAAAACTATTTAATATCTAAGTTATTTGGTTAATTAAACTTTGTCACCAAGTGTTGTTATTTAGCAAATTCTTCTTATTTCTTCTTATTCCAACCTTGTTTTTCAAAATATCTTAATGCCTCTCTGTCCACTCTTACGTTAATAAATTTAGTGCAGTGAATATAATTAAAACTATCATCATTAGTATTTCATAGGGTTATTATGATTATATGCTAAAATTATAAAAATTTACCTGCAATAACATAATGAAATGTCCAGTACATTTCTAGTCATGTACATGCCCAGTACAGAGCTTGGTACAAAATCAGTGCTCAATGAACATCATTTCTCTTCCTCTCCCCCAGTGTAGCTCAGGTTGGTCCTTGCCCTCCTTCTGGAGTACAGCATTATAAATAGTGTTATGTAGGAAGTACAGAAGTATAGATGGATATTAGGCTAAATTTGTATTGAGCTAACTTACACACAGCTGTCAGATTAATCTACCTAAAATATAGCTCTTCTATTTCTCTGCTTATAACCTTCAATGGCTCCCTACTACCTGCAAAACAGAACCCAACTCTTTGACCTGCTTTATTCGCTTCTCTCATAGTACAAAATTACTTTTTCCAAAACCTCCTTCTATCTTTTCCCTTTTGCTCATTCATCCTGTGCTCTAGACAAACAGAATTAGGCTTATTTTCCCTGCACTGCCTGCTCTTTTCAATCTCTGTACCTTTCCCCCACAATATCCTTCACCTAGAGTTCTGTCTGTGATTGTAATTAGGTTTCAGTTGCACCTTCATGAAGCTTCGTTAGATGTGTCCATATGCAAATGCCTCCCTTAGCATTCCATGATCATAATTAATCTACACTTCCTTTATGGCCTTAGTTATTTCCCGCCAATTTTATAATTATTCATACGCCTACATTAAGGCCTCCATTTACAATAGCTTCTTAGAAGTTATAAGTATGTTTATTTTAAAAACCGTATGCTGGGCCATAAAGCGAGTCTCAACAAATTTTCACAGGATCAAAACTACACATAGTATATTCTCATACAACAGTGAAATTATGGTGAACATCAATTACAAAAAGGTAATGAGAAAAATTACCAAATGTCTCAAAAGTAAGAAGCGCACTTCTATATAACAGCTAGGTCAAAGAAAGAGTGACAATAGAAATTAGGAAATATTTCAAATCAAATGATGATGAAAATATTGAGTATCAAAACTGTAGAATGCTGCTAAAGCAGGAGATACTCCAAGAGAAGTGTATAGCTTTAAATAAATATATTTTTAAAAGAAGCTAAAAATTAGTTAACTAAACATAAACCTCAAGTTAGATAAAGTTGAACAAAATAAATCAAATAAAGTAGAAGGAAGAAAACAAAAATAAGAGTAAATTGATGAAATAGAAAACAGATGCAATAAGGAAAAACAAAAAATACAAAAATTTGGTTCTTTGAAAAGACTAATAAAATTGATAAATCTTTTACACAAGGCTAATCACAAAAAAGTCATGAATAATTATTATCAGGAATAAAACCACATCAAGTTTTATAAAAATCATATGGGGAATAAAGAAACAGGACTTCCCTCAGATTCTACAGAAATTAAAAAGATAGTAGGAGGATATAAACAAGTTTATTCCACTAAATCTGAAATTGAAATGGGAAAATTACTGGAAAAGTGTAACTTACTAATAATGACTCAAAAAGAAATAAAAATCCTGAATGGTTATATAGCCAATGAAATTGATTAAATCAGTAATCAAAAATCTTAGCAAATAGGACACACCTAACCCAAATGATCTTATTGGTGACGGATACCAAACACTCAAAAAAGACATAGTTCTAATTTTAACAAAACTTATTCCAGGCTGGGCATGGTGGCTCACGCCTGTAATCCTAGCACTTTGGGAAGCTGATGTGGGAGGATTGCTTGAGACCAGAAGTTTGAGACCAGCCTGAGCAAGAGTGAGACCCCATCTCTACAAAAAAGAAAAAAATTTAGCCAGGCATGGTGGTGCAGGCCTATACTCCCAACTACTCGGGAGGCTGAGGCAGGAGAATTGCTTGAGCCCAGGAGTTTGAGTTGCAGTGAACTATGATGACGCCACTGCACTGCAGCCCAAGCGACTGAGCAAGACTTTATCTCAAAAAAAAAAAAAAAAAAAAAAAACATATTCCAGAAACTAAAAAAATAGGAAATAGGGTATCATCCTCTAGTCATTTTAGGAAGCTAGCATAAATGTTGTAATAAAACTGACAAGGATGATACAACAAAAGGAAATTATAAATTAAACTCATTTGTGAACATAGATGCAAAAATCCCAAATAAAACATAAAAAAACTGATTTAGCATATACTGAATGATAATAATGCATTGCAAACAGGTTGCATTTATAGCAGGAATAGAAGGAAAATACATACATTATATAATCAATATAATTTATCAATTAACACATTAGTGAGAAAAGTATATAATTATCTTAGTAGATGCAGGAAAAGCACTTAAATTTCTATAGCAATTTATGAAAAAAAACTTATCAAACTAGCAATATAAGGAAAATTCCTCAATCTTATAAACGTCGTTTTTTAAATTGCTGTAACAAATTCTATATATCAAAGAGAATATTTGAAATATTTCCCTTTGAGATCGGAAGGATGTTTACTATAAACATTTGTACTCAATAATTGCATTGGAGGTGCTAGCCAACAAGCAAGAAAAAAGAGATAAAGGTGTAAGAATTTAAAAGGAAGAAACAAAACCATCATTATTTGTAAATAGTGTGTATGTAGAACACCCAAAACAATCGACAAAAAAATTAGAATTAATATGAAAGTTTAATAAGAAGGTTGTGATTGTTAAATGATACATATAAGATGTCTGGGATGCTGGGACTTTAATCTTTATTATTAAACATTTATGCTTCATGCTTTTTTGTGCGAGTTATATTTCATAATTTTAAAAAGCTTTTTAAAAAATAAATGGTAAATGCCATAGGAGAATAGGTATTAAGTCAGTATTGACTAATGATCATCTTACCCTTTTCGTTTACCAAGAGGAGGGTAGAAGAGGAAGTAGTCCATGGAGTGGATTTAAGGAAAAGCTACGTGCCTGTTGGTAGAGAAGATAAGTGAGGGGATGGAAGAGGGGAGGAGATAACATTGTTTAATATTGCCTGCTATATTCCAACCACCATGCTAAGATATTTTTCATGTATTAACTAATACTTATATAAACATCCAGCCTATGAAAAAGACACTGTTATCTCAGTTCTATAGATGAAGAAACCAAGACTTAGAATATCAGTAACTCATTCAACCACACACCAGTAGGAAGTCAGGATTTGAATGAAGAGCTAACTTCAAATCAGTGCTTCCTTCACTGTGTCTTGTGACTTCCTCCGTTCCAGAAATTCCTTATGATGCATCTAATGGTTTAACCATATCCATAGTTTCTTCTTCATGCTGACCCTTACGCTAACTTTTTTGTCTTTGGGTCTTCCTTCTTTCCCAACACGGTGGATTCCTATTTCCCTGTCGTAAGTACCCTTACCTAATAGCCTAGCTCTCAAAAAAATTAAGCCAAATAAGTGAACCTGAATTGTTATGGCATTAGTGCATCCTGTGGAACTACAAATGTATGACAAAGAAGTCACTTTGGGTTAATACAGAACTAGAGAGAGATGTAAGACCTGAGGTTTTTTTCTTTATTGTTTTTTCTTTAAAGCAGCTGGTATAGTTTTCCTCAGACAACTTTTGCCACCTGGTGGTCAAACCACATAAATTGGTGTTCTGGATCCTGGAGAAAGTAGCTGATTATAGTAACTTTCTAAATTCTCAGCACAGAAAATGCTATAGAGGAAAGTGTATCCTAGAAGCCAAGCAATGTCCAGGGTAGATCCCAGGACCATAAGTGCTTCTTCTATGGGGTGTATGTTGACCTCCTTCCAGGAGCCATTACATTTGAATCGGGGGAGGCAGCTGGGCCTCGATGTTTCATTGCAGCTGTTGTGTGCATGCAACTTTGTTGTCATTGATGTTGTTGATCTTACATTTTTTTCCTAACTCTGAATCATATTTATTTCAAAAGTAGCCACTTTAATTCTCTTTAAACAAAGCAGAAGTCATTTATGTATTTCCTGCACAACCAATCTAGCATCAAATACATATAAAAAATCTGTTCCTAGACACGAAGGGCTGAATATTTGTGCTTTTCTTAACCAAGCACTGGATTTCCATCTGAAACTGTTTTTGAACTTGACAGGGCCCAGTGGATATTTATGAAAAACCACAGAGTTGATAACCGCGAGTCTATAGGTTTAGATGAGCCCTCTATGCTTTTGGGGTGTTTTTTTAATAAAGTAACTGCTTTGCAGAGGGATCTTGTTATCTCTAAAGTAAAACAGATTAGGAAAGCTGTTTTTCAAAGGGATGAGAAAGCATCCATTTCCAGATGTGTCAAAAACTACTGAATCACACTGTCAAAGGATTATGTGGTTGAAGGCAGAAATCAGAAAGAAAGGAAAGATGATTTTTACTCTACTATTAAATAAAGAGTTTAGATTACTTTTTGAATGTTCTTTCCTTTGACAAAATAACTGATGTGCAATTTTTAGAACATATTTTCTAAACTGGAGACTTTTTCTGCCATATCCTTAAATTCAGCAGGGAATATCAAATCTCCCAGAAATCTGGCAGACCACAGAATAGAATAATTTTTATTCCACAGATTTCATATCAATTGCTTCAAGGACACATGGGATATCATGGTCTATTTAGAGTTATAGTTGGCCTGAGTTTTCTTTTGAGTGGATGTGTTTATATAAATACTGAACCGAATTGCCTTTATAGTTTTCCTCTAAATCAAAATGGAACATTCATGCTGTCACCTTCACCAGCCCAAGGCAAGGTGGAACTAGTAGCAAAACTGTAAGTAGCTATGCTCCTGAAAGAAAGAAAAACATTGGCCTGTCCTTCATAGGCATAATCAACTTCTCCCTCTGGAAACCCAAATATAGTTCTCTTTGCCACAGAATGAAAAGTCAAATCTTATGCTTGCCCCCAAATAAGCCTTTGTTGTAGGTTTTCTTCCACATTTCTACTTTCGCTATATAGCTCTACATTCATTTCCAGTTTCAATATATGATGTAGATCAATCAAAAAAGAAATATTTACTGAGTTCCTACCAGGTGCTGCGTGCTCAGGGTATGGTAAGGAAAATAAGATGAAGTTCCTATTCTCCAGGAATTTACATTTGAGATGGAGCGACAGACCATAAACAAATAAATATTTAATAGTATTATGCACAGACAAATGCTATGGAAAACAAAGCAGGGTAAGAGGCAGAGGGCTCTTGAGAGGCTGATATTTGAGCAACAATATGAACGAAGGATTTGCAACAGGTGAACATCTAAGAGCAAAGCATGCTAGACAGAGGGAGACCAAGTGCAAAACCCTCAAGACTCAACAAGCAGTCCCATCTGTCTGGAGTGGAATGAGCAAGGGACGGGGAAGGAGTTGCATTTGTAGAGTTAGGCTGGAGCCATTTCATATACAACTTAATGGGGCATAATTTGAGATGATTTTAAGGCTGGTAAGAAAGACAGGTTGACTCAATTGTTCAGCAGCATCAAAGTATGTTCCCACAAGATCCCTCCCGCTACATACACACACACACACACACACACACACACACACACACACATACATACATATACACTCCATTTCTGTGGTCAAATTTGAAAAAAGCTGCATACTTTATCCATTTCCCTATTAGAGATTCACAATCATAAGAGCAAATTACAAGTTCTGAGACATTCACAGGAAAGATGTCTATTTATCTATGTTAAACTTATTTATCATGGAACTCTTTTTTCTGGTAATGCACAAATTAACAGCATGAATCTGTTCCTTCCCTGTTCATTCACATGGCTGTCTGTGTCATAGCCAAGAATGATGTTGCAATCCCAGTCATCACATAAGTATACTCTTTGGTCACAGGGAAAGCTAGTGTGTATAACTCGTATTGGTCCAGCTACCCATTCATTTATTTATTTACCTAACTTTTGTTAAATTCCATCTGTAAATCTTCAGATGCTCATGAAATAGATTTTAAATCAATGCATCATTAAATATGATTAACAAATGGAAGAAAAGCTGTGCAGAATGGTGACAGAGTATCATTTTCTAAGAGGAGGTGCATTTTTCCACCAGTTCTCCATTCCACACATGCCCAGCCCCTGCCCTAGTCTGTCATGCACCAGGCAAGACCCACAGAAATTTGAAAAAACTTTGTACTGGTAGCAACAAGGTAAATGGCACGTACAAAGCAGTTGATTTAGTTTAATCAGTAAATATTTGTAACTTGTAAAGGTAAAGATTTAATGTTAGAAGTGAGCGGTACGATCTGAAAGCAGAATACCTGATATGATTTAGGATATATTATACAAGAAGCTGGGTTCTTTTCAAAGAGTTTAGTATATAACTTTTCTAGGTAGGCACTGATTTAGAATTACTGACACAAACACCATTTTGGAAGCATGAAACATGCCTTTCAGGAATCACCTTTTCAGCACAGAAACATAGATCATATGGGCACCAAAAAGGCACAGCACTAACCAAGGCAAGAACAAAGCCAGAACATAACTGGATGTTGGTGTCTTTGATTTACAGAGCAGACCACGAACATTGAGATCAAAGATGATGCAGTTACAAAGACTGATTCTCTTGAAAAGGTAAGGAATTATTTTCCTCAAAGTGTAGATGACAAGTAAGATTATCTGAGAAAACCTTGGCCTAAAGTGAGAAACACTAAAGATAGATAGATAGAGACGGACAGAGAGCGAGGGAGAGGTGCTTAGATGGTAAATTCTCATGCTAGAGAAGAGGAATTATTTAGGCATCCTCAGACCAGCTCCAACTGGAGAGAAAGGAGTTAATTTTACTAGCCGGCTTAAGCAAAACTTCCCAGCTCCATGCTCCTCTCTAGACAGTGTGGCTTGGCAACCTCACAAACACCTGCTGACCATACAGCCATGTGGAACTAACGTTGTCTTGAAGTGAGTTCAGAAAACCTGCCTATAATTG